GCTGGGGCTTCTATTTCTGGACACACCGAGACTACACACTTTTGCGGCAGATCCAACTGTGGCAAGTTCCAAGGGAGGAGAAGGTGGAACTTCATTCTCTGAGGAGTCTACACTGTCTTCACTTGAAGAAAATGTGCCCCATTTGTGGGAGGATCTGAAATGATAAATCAGAATTTAACAAGTGGTTAAAAAAAAAAAGAAGGCTACGGTCTAGTGAGCAATTTAACTATTTTATTTCAAGTTAACTGTGAGAGATACAGAAATAAGATCCAAAAGATAAAACGTTACAGTTGAACCAATGACAACCAATATGGTTAAAAAAATAGTAATCTAGTTCATTTAAAGTAGGAATGTGGCAAAATCTATAGTAAAGCTCACAAGTATTAGCATTTTTTCCTGTGTAATTTTCCATTCTTACAAATATGTTGTTCCTTTAAGCACTGAAGGATGAGAAAAAAAGTAATGCAAAGAGAACCAAATGGGTAAAGGAATTGAGAGCTGCTCAAATGACAACTAGGAAGACGGAAGATTTAGAGTTGTGTGTTACACAAGTCCCTGTTCCACACTACCTTCTACGTCGCTTTTCTGGGATCTCATAATCCGTTTGAAGATCTGATGTCGCTTCTGCCCTTGAAAGCTTTCGTCGTGCTTCTCCATAGCAGTCTTTAGAAAAGAATTTTCAAAAAAAAGGATTAACACATTTGTAAATCTAAAGCTCACATTTTCAAAATTTTCATACAAGTAAATGTTTGTCACCTGCATTTTCAAGAACACGCACACAGCATGTCTTCCATGAAGCATCTGGCTGTAGTTGTTGCTTCACTGCTTTCGTGACATTTATACTAAGGCCTGCTGGCCAGAAGCACTGAGCCTTGTTTGCATCAGTAAACCAACATGATGGGATTATATCCACCAACTTCTTTCCCTCTGTTGATTCTTCAATGAATTCCACAACGCTGAAGGACATGCTGGAAGTTCATATTAAGTAAATTAGTGGTCATGTAACTGAGGAAAAACAACATGACCGTTCCGCAAAGGAAGGACTACCAGTTTTTTTGTCAGGCTTGTCACCGGTACACCATAAAGACGGTCTGAAAGTTGTGTCATAGTTCTGATTCCTAGACAAGATGAATCAATAGGGTATCTGCAGAAACAGTCTTGTTGTTCATAAAATTGACACACAGTGTACATGGCTCCAGATAACAACTGTATTATATTCCTTATTACAGCAACTCTGCCCTCAACATCAAAACAGTTATCTCCTACACAACATGATATGACGGTTCCCTCATGTCTGTACTGCCTGAACTGCATGCGAGCAGGAAAGTCTGGGAGAGTTGGACCACATGAATGTGGAACTTGAGCTTTACCCTGTCTTCCATCTTCTCCCAGAATGGGCTTTTCAGCTAAACGCCGGACGACTTGTTGGAGAGGGTTTTGGGGTCTTCGTACAAGTCGCTTCAATGTCCCAAGATAATTTTCAAAGGGAAAACATGAAATATTGTCCAAGGCACCATATTTTCTGGCATCATCAGCTAAATGTATGAGACAGTGGGTGTTGTAGACCAAGTGTTCTGTTCCATACAACTTCGCAAAATTGGTAACATAACACTTCAACAGTTTTCCAGCATAGTCACAGTATTTACAGCACAAAACAGGACTGAGAAGAATTGTCATTGCTATTGAGAGCAACATAAAGTTGTTGTACATTTGTGCTGATAGTCGTCCTTGAAGAACCACTGGGCCAGTGTACAACAGAAATTGTCTGAATTCTGTTGCCTTCCATTGACTGTACTCCATCAGTGAACGTGGTTTTCTAGAGAAATTTCTAGGAAGGTGATCTCTCACTGATTTCAGGTGATTAGAAATAATGGAAATGGTAACTGCAGACAGACGACATCTTAAAGGTCCTTTGATCCACAAACTTATAACTTTTTTAACATGTCTTAAACAAACCAGATGCATATAGTCGAGCACAAAGCTCGACACCATTCCTACACCAAGCTGCTGCAAAGGTGAAACTCCATGATGGTGATCGTCATCTGTCAAAAGTTCAAAATTTTCATCTGTTCGTAGAGGTGCTGTACAATCAGGAAACACAACCTTTTTATCCATGTAAATTCCATGCTCTACACAGCGTTCACAGGAGCTGTAGCCAGAATGACCTTTGATACATTTCAAAAAATGCCCGAGCAGGTGCATCACAGATGAAGGCATCTGGAAGTGCAACATTAAAATGTTTTCCTCTGTAATTCAAACCCTCTTGAGTTACTGTCTTCAGGTCTTCAATAAACTCTTTCAAGTATTTTGTGACAGAGTCAGGCTTGGCCACACCTGCATACAAGCCAATGATAAACACACCAGATTTTGGAAATTCCTTAATCGTGGCCAAAATAGGCCACAACTCCATTTTTGAACTTTTGAAGAGTGGTAAGCCATCAATGTTCACCCGGAGAGTCAACGTATCAACTGAAAGATGAGAGTCATTTAAAAGCTGTGAAGTTAGTGTCTTAGCCAGTCCAAAATGATGGTAAATACCATGTCCCATTTCTTTCACTTCAAAGGTTTTGGGAGTTGACAAAAGACTTCTAGAATCCTTGGGTAAATCCAAACCATAGTGCACTAAAATATGTAGCAGCTCTGTCAATGCACTGTGTGAGATATTTCGATTTGCTGCCCAATCAGCAAGCTTTATTTTAAGTGTACGTGTGCGATCAATTTCTTCAGACATGCTGTTCAAATCTATTTCAATGCTACTGGCAGTAAATTTTCTTCCAGCAGCTGATTGTTCTTCATGTTCATCTTCAAATTCTGCATCAGTCTCTTTTTCACTCAAATGAGCTTCAAAGTTCCACTTTTCACTGGAAATCTGGTTGTCCACTTCCGAAGCATAATCCAAATCAGAAAATGTGCCACTTTTGACCTTGAAGTCTTCCAAAAACTTTAAATGCTCAGAAACTTTGGCTTTAATTCGTCTTCTTTTTGTCTGAGAACTACAATAATAATCCATTTTTTTAAGTCTGCGAAAACACAAACAAAGCACACTTTCAGATGGCTATTTACTAAGGAATGATAGAATACTTGTCTAAAGACTGAAATATAATTTTGTGTTTGCCAAATACTTTTTTATTTAACACAATGATTAATCATAATATTTTTACTATTAAGGTACTTTATGGTATAGTTTAAATTTAAAAGGTGATAAGCAAGGACAAATTGAGGTTTCAGGATGTAAAATTAGTATGGAATTAAAATTTATATTTCACAAGAAGTGCAACAAACAAACAACCTAAGTAAAGACAACATCCCTGAATCATAAAATAAATGTATATGTCTCAGATGACACAGTTGCCTGATAAAATGGTTATAAAATTGCAACAAAACATTTAATTCCCAAAACTTTATGAAAGTAAAAATTATAAAACTACCTTTTTCAAATCGTTGATAGGTGATCTTCACAGTTTCGTGTTCTTCAAGTCTACAAAGAAATATATTTTCATAATGCAGTTAATATAACATTTGGGCTTCTCCAAAAAATAATATTAAGGCAAAACAGCCTATGTATAGAGCAGGGGTGTCAAACCCCAGTCCTCAAGGGCAGGTCTCCTGCAACTTTTAGCTGTTCCTCTGCTACACCACACCTGAATAGAATAATTAGGTCACTAAGGCTCAGGAGAACTGATCTACACAAGGAGAAGGTAATTAAGCCATTTCATTCCAGTGTTTTGTACGTGTGGCTAGGGTTGTCACGATACTAAAATTTTCAACTCGATACCGATACTCAGGAAAATACTCGATACTCGATACCATTTTCGATACCACAAGGATAAAAACAAAGACCCCAAAATGTAACTGAATTTTGACAGGTTAGTGTCTTTGGTTTCAAACTGACCTGTTACTGATGTTATCGTGACTGGTGGCCTGTATTAATGACCCTGACCCTAACCCTAACCCTAACCCTGACCCTCCAGCCTTCATAATTGTGAGAAATAAAATATTTTTTGGGTGAAACTTATTGGTTCTTATTATAAACTTATAAACTTATTTTTGGGGTTTGGACTTATTGTACAAACCTATTTAATATCCACTATTTTAACATCATATTATGGATAGAGTTTAATTCAGTGTTTGAAAGATTAATTTAACTATTTTTAAATTATTGTCTAAATTGCCATGAAGCAATTTGGATTTTCTTGCCTGGGATCTTCCTATTGGTGACGTAATCAAAATGGCCGATTGGATGTGGGCGGAGTTGAATATGTACTTGATTACTGTTAGCGTGTTGTTATTAGCAATTAGCCGCAGATAACAGTTCAAGGCTAACGTCTTGTTAATGATCATAAACAACGTAAATAAATACATAAATAAATCTGAGAGAAGGGGGGCAGCGACGGCAGGTCAGCGTTGCGCGCGCACTCGCGCGGTGGTATCGATACTTTTGAAAATGAGTATCGTATCCGGATACAACATTTTAGTATCGATACTTTTTTAAGTATCGATACTTTTGACAACCCTACCTGTGGCACATCTAAAAACTGCAGGATACCGGATCTCGAGGACTGGAGTTTGAGACCCCTGGTATAGAGTACTCACTGTAGAGATATATTGTAAACACTGGACAATTTCACTAATGCAATTATCCTCATTTACTGTGTATAGTACTGTGACAAGACAGTAGTATTAATCCTAAGAGCAGTTTAGAAAATCACTAAGAAATCACTCCTAAAATATTGCACGTATTAAAGAACAAGAGCTACACTTAAAATATTGCAAAAAACAACAAAAAAAATTCTTCATCTTTCAATCTTTAATTCAGGCCTGGCCACTGAAGACTACTCTATAGAACACAAAACTGTGCAGATAGAAACAAACTCTGGCAGAACAAAACACTTTTAAGTGTCACTTACAAAATAAAAAAAGGATTTAAAAATATTTACTATACCTTCATCCTATTTACAAAAAAAGCTTCTATGCCAAATATACTGAAACCACATGTGCCCCATATAGTGTTGCCCATTTCTATCCCATTCCCAGCTAGCCCACATTAATGCTGAATAAGGTCCATACGTTTAGCCCAAATGGCTCAATAATATGGCTTTCATTTTAGGTTAACCATATGGGGCTCATGCAGTTAGCCCAGATGAAACCCATGCCCAATCATTACCAATCTCGCCCAAAACAAAACGATTCAATGCAGTTTCATTTAAAAAAAAAAAATAATTTAAAAAAAAAGCACCATTGCATCCCTTACAAAAAAATCCCACGAAAATCACATGTGGATCACATGTGACTTTCACATGTGATTCACACAAATTTTACATGTGACTCACATGTGAAAGCACATGAATACGTGTGATTTTGGAACGTTTCGTGGTAAAATCACGTGATTCACACATTTCCACATGTGAAAATCACACCAAAAATCACATGATTTTACCACAAAACGTTCCAAAATCACACGTATTCATGTGCTTTCACATGTGATTCACATGTAAAATTTGTGTGAATCACATGTGATTTTTGTGGGATTTTTTTGTAAGGGATGGGTGGGTCCCAGCCAAGCCAGCATGCATGAGACCCACCCATGCATGCTGGTTTAAGTGACTGTGAGAAAGATTATTAAAAGCCCATGTACATAGAATGAAATCACAATAATTACTCTTTTTAAATCATGCAAGTGGTTTTATTGTGTCGAGACACTGAAACAAATTCTGCTAGCAACTTAGATTCTTTAGCGAACCGAATTTATTCTGCCGCGTTTGCGCTCAAATGAACCAATGGTAGCTCAGCAAATGGCGCGGCAATATTTGAAAATGTTATGGCCCAAAACAATACGGAGTTTGAAATCGCTCTGCACCAAAATATTCTTATCTTAATGATGGTAGATAACTTGTCGTGTGTGTTTTAACAATATCAGAAAAAAAATGTCACAGGAAAGGATAAGAAAAAAAAACCCAAAACATAAATAATCTTTTGGGGTACGCCGATCATCCGATCTGTTATGACCAGCCCATTTCTTTAACTGGCGATTTAAAATCTCCCTAAAATTTGATATAATACAGGTAAAACAGAGAGAAGAGAATTACTTACAGATTCGTAGGACAGTCAACCTGTAGATTCCGCGCAAACGGACTGATGAGGAGAATACGTTGGAGTGTGAAACCGCATATCCATCCGCAGTTAATTTTAAGTTTTTCAAGAAACACAAGATTAATTTTGAGTGTTACATCGGTTTAACAAATTTAAAACCGATGTAACACTCAAAAACTTGCTCAAACAAAAATAAATAAATATTGTCGTCCTCCTTATTAAAACGTTCTTTGGAACTATTTTCTTTAGTGGATGTGTAAAATGCCTACTTCAATTCACCAATCTTTATTGGCAAAGGTGCCAAGAGCACAAGTGTCAAACTCCAGTCCTCCAGATGTCCTGTGTGCCACATGTACAGAACCCTGGAATGAATTGGTTAATGACCTCCTCCTTAATGAACTAATTATTTTATTCAGGTGAGGCACATCTATACGCTGCAGTACACCTGCCCTTGAGGACTGGAGTTTGACATCCTGCAATAGAGCAATAAAAAGGTTAAAAAGATCATTGCAATCAGATTAAAATATATAAAATGAATCATTAATAGAAATGTTAAGTTTTTATTTCATTTTATTTATGCTGACAACTTGGAAAATGTTTGCAGATTTATGAAACAGATTCTCAAAATTTTAGTCTTTCTCACTAAATAATGAGTTTTGTTTAAATTTATTTTCTAAACATTTTGTAATATTTTTCACAATGGTCTGATCTGAACAATTTCTCCAAATAAGAATTAAATCCTGTTGTGAAAAAGCTGCAATAAACCCTTTGCATTAAAAAAAGCAAGGTGAAAAGTCCAGATCTGAACCTAATTTTGAGTGAGCAGAAGATTACATATGGTGCATATTTAAAACGGATTATGTCACAAAAATCACATCCAGACTTAACTGGACTGTTCTAGTGTAAATAATAAAAAGAAAAACCATTAGGGGTTCAAAGTGTAGTAAGAACAATACTGAACTGTTTTAAAAAATAAAGCTTTGAAGCATTATTTTTTAATGGCAATATCCTGGTCTTTTTGGAAGCGTAGTGTCATGTCGGTGTTAGTAAATGAGCCAGACACAGAGATCACATAGTGGGCATGTTTTAGGTTCAAATACAAAACACCTTGGTGACTTCCAAGACGAGGTAACCATCCAAGGAAAGCTTTTCCTTCTGTAGACAGAAAAGCTTATGCAATTGCTTCTACACTTTATATCAACTCCATTAGAGGCCAACTGAGTACAAATTGCCTTGGCAAGACCATCAATCTGATATTTTGGGTAATTTCTTTTCCAAATTTTTATGTTCTTGCTCTTGCAGCTTTTGCTTTGACATATAGTGAAAAGTTTGAAAGTTACAGGTTAACCACATTGTCTATTAAGATGTTCCACAGTTTTGTACCATTAACTGACATAAAAATCTAAAGGGTCTACATTTCCTTGTTGAGGTCCAACTCATGTACGGCCATGTTTATGTCATGTGGGTTCAATGTGGAAAGCCCACATGGTCTTTTCATGTTGGGCCCACAATACTGAAACCATATGGGCCCCACACAGTGTAGCCCGTATCTGTCCCATTCCCAGTTAGCCCACATAAAAAAGGACTGGGGCCTACATATCCATGCCCAGGTCCAACCCATGTACGGTCAGCCCATGTTTATGTGATGTGGGTTCAATGTGGTCCGCCCACATGGGCTTCCTATGTGGGGCCCATGATACTGAAACTATATGGGCCCCACAGAGTGTAGCCCATATCTGTCCCATTCCCAGTTAGCCCACATAAAAAAGGACTGGGGCCTACATATCCATGCCCAGGTCCAACCCATGTACGGTCAGCCCATGCTCATGTGATGTGGGTTCAATGTGGTCAGCCCACATGGGCTTCCTATGTGGGGCCCATGATACTGAAACTATATGGGCCCCACAGAGTGTAGCCCAT